TTACTGTTGAATAAATAACTGCTTCCACAACGATGAACCAAGCTTCTCCAGCACAAAGGTGGGAATTGGCTTCTTGGGGCAATGCTGAGTTCCTGTAACACGAGCCTTAAGGTTGTACCTGGTGATGGCTCACGTGTGTAGACATTCAGGTCACTTCAGAGTATAATTTGAGTATCAATGTTATGTTAGCGCCCTGTTGATAAATTGATGGTCAAAAGAAGTGCTTCCTCATGACATAGCTCAGATGCTTTTTTGTGTTGTGTTTTGCTCTCTGATATGAAGGCACTTAAAACCTGGAAGATTTGTTCTGTCCTAGCCGTAGAATTGTCCTCACACATTCCTTCAGGAAAGTAACTGCACCATACCATACGTAATGTTTACTTACAGTTTTATTTGTTTCTCAACAAATACTATTACACAGTTCCATATTAAGTCCTGAATTGTTATTTCTAGATTTCTGAGATAGACTTCCAAGATTCTATTCATGTTCTGGGGTTCTCAGATGAATTGAACAAACTATTGCTCCAGCTGTACCTTGAGAATAGGAAAGAGATCAGAAGCATTCTTAGTGAGCTGGCCCCAAAGCTTCCCAGCTATCACAGTCTTGAATGGAGACTGGATGTGCAGGTAACTTCTATTATGTTTTCGGTATTCTGTATTTTACTTTGCACTTTTTAACATTGTCATGGTTTAAACCCAGCTGGCAGCCAAAAACTATGCAGCCGCTCACTCAGCGTCCCCTTGCCCTAGGGATAGGGGAGAGAATTGGAGGGGTAAAGGTAAGGAGATTCATAGGTTGAGGTAAAAACAATAATTGAAATAAAATAAAATAATAGAAAATACAAACAACGCACAGTGTGATTGCTCACCACCTGACAGCCAAAGCTGGCCCATTCCCAGAGAAGAGAAAATCCTGGAGAGAATGAGCTTCCCAGCCTGCTCTTGTCTATGTACTGAGCACAATCTTATGTGATAGGGAATATTTCAGTGGCCAGTTTGGGGCCGGTGCTCTGGCCGTGCTCCCCCCCAGCTTCATGTGCACCTGCGCAGGGGCAGGACATGGGCAGGTGGAGAGTCCTGGATTTCTCAGCAACAACTGAAAACATCAGTGTGTTATCAGCATTCTTCTCATACCAAATTCCATACTGAATCTAAACCACAGCACTATTCTAGCTGCAAAGAAAAAAAAAATAGCTCTACCCCAGCCAAAGCCAGGACAAACATAATTAACAAATATTTGTCTTGGCTTGGGCTGAAATAGAGTTAATACTCCTTTTCAGGGACTAGATGAGTGCTGTGTTTTGGATTTAGCTTTGGGTTTGGTATGGGAAGAATGCTGACAGCACACTGATGTTTCCAGCTGCTACCAAGACTTCAAGGACTCTCCGGCTCCCCATGTCCTGCCCGTGCGCCAAGGCACAGGGAGGGAGCACGGCCACAGCACCTGACCCGAACTGGCCAGGGAAATATTCCACATCGTGGCACGTCATGCTCACTGTATAGAGGAGGGGGGTGGGGAAGGGGCTCTCGCTTCGGGGATTGCGACTGTGGGATCTCGGTATCTCAGGGTCGCTGGCCGGGAACGGGCTGGGGATTGGTCAGCGGGTGGGGAGCAATTACGCTGCACATTGCCTGGTTATATATTTCTTTTTGTTTTCCCCTATCATCGTTATTGTTTTCGTTTTATTGCCATTATTAAACTGTTCCTATCTCAGCCTGCGAGTCTCCCTTCCCCCCTCTAATCCCCTCCCCCATCCCCAGGTGGGGAGGGGGAAGGGAGGGTGCCCACCTGCGGTGGTTGGGTGCCGACCAGGCCCAAACCACGACAATACTAAACAATGAATTCATGCTATTTCAAACTACTTGAGGCAGCAGTTTTTTGTGTATTTAAAACTGACATAATTTTGTTATTGCACCAAAGATACCTAGTTGAGATGAACAGGATATATGATGATGCAAAATATTTCTTGCTTTATGAAAATCGAATTCATCACTCCCATTGGTGTTTTCAAAATGTTAGCATATACCAAATATATTTAGTCTTAATTATCACCTAATTTTCAGAAACTATATGGAAGCATTGATTAAAGTGGATTCATATTGCCTAACGATAAAACTAAATAATAGGTTGTATGTATCTTTAATGTGGATAAAGAGGATTTTTAAACAGTTCTCCAAGCAGGTCCTGCAAACCTGTTTTGAATTGTAAATATGAAAGTTAATAACCATCTTTTGTTTGTTTGTTTCCTTATTCCCATTTTACCTAAACTCCCTCATGCAGCTTGCAAGCAGAAGCTTGAGACAACAGATTAAGCCTGCCGTGACTATAAAGCTACATCTTAATCAGAATGAGGATCAGACTGCCCAAGTGTTGCAAACTGACCCTTCTACCCTCCTCCACCTAATTCAGCAACTGGAACAAGCGCTGGGGGAAATGAAAACGAACCATTGCAGGAGAATAGTGCGCAACATGAAATAGGATTGACTTGTGGCTGTTGTCTTTCTAAGCAGTTTGTGAAACAACTAGAAACAATGTTCACAAATACATTTTGAGGAAAAATAAACATCTGGATCAGATGAAATGCTTTCCTGTGCCAGGATCTTGAGCCAGTAATTATAGGCTGGGTGACCTCTGGTGCTAACTTTACGCACCTGCCTGGTAAGAGACCGGTAATTGGTTTTGCTTTACTTGCAAATGTAGGAATTCAGCATGCTCTGCTGAGAATTTCTTTAGCTTTGAATTAGTATAGTTCTACTTGAAGAGCCTTCCTACATTATGTAGAGCAGTCAGTGTTATATGAAGCTACACATTTATTTTTACATGTATCGAGTAGTTTTTTTCCTTGTTTTTGCTTCTGTTTTGAAATTTAGAAAAGCCCAACAACCTATACTGGTAGAAATTATACTTTACAGGAATGTTTCTTCCATCTAGACTCATGTGTGTATGAGTACGTGTGGGACTGGTGCCCTCTTCCACTAGAGGATTCAAACAACTCGGAGTCTGGGTGTTACAGTGCTTTTCTACCATTTTCTAGAATGCAAGTATAATAAAGCTAACGTTCCATTTTAACAAGGCTAGCTATAACCCCTGCGAGGCAGTGTCACTCCTGCAGGGAGCAGTTACCAGAAAAAGCCCAGTGGCCTAAGTGTAAGTTAGCATACTGGTTATACGTGAAGGAGGTCTGAAAAGTGGCAGAAGTAAAGCCATGGGCTTGGGGGCCCACTGAGAGCAACGTTAACTTCTGCTGAATCTTGACTTCATGTTGTGATGCAACAACTTTTGTTTCTCTATTTGGATAGTGTGCTCCTAAAGGAAAGACTAGCGAAGTGGTGCAACATAAATGATGCCTTTCCATTTTTAAGAAATATGTCTAAGAAGTTTATGTCAAAAGTCACACTTCAGTTGTATTCCAATGCAATATTTTGTAGCTTTTGTGACTAAGGTTAAATAGTTTCACTAATTAATGTTTTACTGTCACTAGTGAGGGTGCATCATAAAGCCCTTAAAGTATATTGGAGAGGAGGAACAGGTGAGAGAGAACCTTAACTCACAGATACTGTCAATAACCGTATATTTACTGTCTTTAATAGCAGCACCATAAATTTCTGTATTAATTGGGTTCCTACATTCACAAATGCTTTATTATTGTTTTGAATTTTTGTACCTTTGTGAGGTACTATTTCAAATAAAACATGCATGGCAGAAGTGCTTTAATCAAATACTACCACTTAATGTCAGTTTTCTAGCATATGGAGTTGCTTATACTTTCAATTGCTTTATATAGTGTGTTGGTGGTGTAAACGAACTTAATTTCCCGGCCCGTATATGAATCAGAAAGGTGTTTCATTTACCATCCATATGTGGGGACTTTTTTCATAGAATCATAGAGTTTTCTTCATGTATAATAATTAAATGGTAATTAAATGTGATCAGATGTTACTACTTGGGATTTCTGATTAGTATTTTTTAATGTACTTGGGCTGTGTTTTCAGGTGAAATACAAGAACAGCCTGGATGTAGGCCAGCGTGTTCTCTGTATTCCATCTCTCACTATAGTCTGGAACTCAGGGCAGCAAAATAGAAACTTTCTGTGTTTCATCTTACTACAGCACTATGAATCTGAATATATTTACCTTGCTGTCTCTTAAATTAAAAAAAAAAAAAAAAAGAAAAAAATCTAGCTGCTGTTGAGCTAGTTAGCATTATGGTAAATGCTGGCGATTTACATGTGTGTCATGTTCTAAAGTGTGTGCTTAGAAGAGAAGAGGAGGGTTTCCCTTGGTGATCATGAGTGAAATGGACACTTCAGAGTTTGTGACTACAGAATGTCCTTAGAAAGCCTGCGTATTTCCTTTTTTGGATGCTTGTTACAACAGTGTACAAGATAAAACTGTGACGCTGAATGGTCTTGTTTCCTCTAACAAAAAGTGACCTGAATTGAGGATGGTCAAGGTTGAAATTTCAAAGCTGGCTGAAATTTAGAGAAACTCAAACTCTGGCAGCGATCGGTGAACTTTTCACTTCAAGAAGAAAAGTAAGGAGAAAGATCCTTTACACGAAGCATGTCACTTTTGAACTGTACCTTTCAGTTCGTTCTGGGGAGAAGTACTGAGCCTGGAAAAGCAGCTGGGGATTTTACCTTAATTATTAGAAAGGTAGATTTGCCTTTATGTGAGGTTGGGAAGGGTCTTTCTGTGGCTCTGCAAACCCCCCTCGCCCTGTGTTCATAGCACATGCAGCAGCTACCAAGGGCTTCGCAGCTGCAGTGACAGGAGGACTGATGTGCAGACAGAGCAGAATTAGATCTAAAACACGAGGATTAGTGCGAATGCACAGCAAATTACATGTACTGGTGTCGAGGGAATACCTCTGAGTCACCAGGGCTGGAATTACGGGACTTGTGTACCTGCTGTTTTGTAGGGCAGTTGAAGCTGGAGAGTGAAAAAGCATCTACTTCAGTAACCCATAGGTAGTGGTAAAATAAGAATTCACTCTTGGATCTGGATTCTTCTGGTTTAATGTAAACGCTCAGCAAAATTCAAGGTGACATAAATCTGTATTTAATATAACTTGTTTCCTCTCATGAATTTGCTATTGCTTTATAGAAACCCTTGAACAAGACGGGGAGAGTACAAAGCTTTATTCACAAGCTATTAAAAAAGCCCCCCCATAACGTCGCTACTTTTAAACCATTTTATTTTGAATAGACTTTAAATTTGCTCTGGTAACTAGCCACTAAAAGCAAAGTTACATTTGAGGCCATTTCTCTACTATTTTTTTGCAAGTCTGGAAGAACTGATTGTTGATTTTCTAACAGAAAAAAAGTGACTTTCAACTTACCTCTTAAAAAGTTAAGTAACTTTGGGAAAAAAGTGACTAATCAAATTCGATTTGTAGGCAGTGCAGCATTTTAATCTTTAAGCAATTTGCAAACATCAGTTAAGTTCTGAATAATCTGTGAGGAAGCTCAGTGTGTTACTATTTCATCTTTAGAAATCTGTTATGGAACATAATCTGTTACCCTCAGTGTAGAACTTCTGCATGTTTTGTTTTACTGAAAATTTCATTTTGTTCTGCAGAACTGCCTCTCCTGTGTATCTCAAGTAACTTTTGGTTTTATGAAGCAACTTTTGAATGGCTTCCTGGCACGTTTTTGATAGACCACCATATTCAGGCGAACTTCATACCAGTGCAGAGTTCAAGTGCATAGAGCAACTAAAAGTCTAACTAGTTTAATCATAAATTAAATTATTTTCCTAAAAGCGGAGTTAGGATCAGCCCTTAGCTACTTGTATCCCAATTTATTTTTTCCTGGTCCAAACAGCAGAGGGCAGAAAGTTTGGTATTTACAAAGGAGTTTCACTATACAATCATTTTCAGTGTTTGTCTTTTGATAAGAATTCTTCATTGTCTCCAGACCTAGCTTGGAATGTATTTCACTTTATATTTTTCAAATTTGGGATCAATTTTAAACTGGAAACAAGCTTCCAGTTCTCAACCACTATAAAATACTGTTTCTTGATTCTGCTAATGAAATTGATAAGCCACTTAGCAAAGAACATAATATAACCCAGTTCTTAAAACTCGCGATGACATGTTTGATGTTGTAAAATGTTTATATTTTTTCAAGCATTGAGCAAACTCAAGAAGCAGCACTTTTCTTCCTCTTTTTTTAATGTTTGAGTGACCTCTGTACGATCACTGTCCATTTTGTAAAATCTATTGTTTCTGATCAAAGTTTTAATCAATTCCCCATCTCTGAAGCGTATTTAGACTGTCCTACAGGCTCTGTTTTCTTGCACTTTTGCTGTGTCCCTGCCATGCTTTCTTGCAAGTTTTTAAAGTACTCGGCTAAATACTTTTTTACCTTTTACCTGGCTAATTAATTAGATGTTCCTTGAATCATACGGGGAAAACCGTTTTAATTTAAACAACTATGGAGTTAGTGGTTTTGTTTATATCTATTTAAATTAACTGAACTTTGGATTAGGCTTACAGTTCTCATTTAACAGAAAACCTACTGAGCTAAGATTTTGTCTTAACATTTTATTTTGAATATAACATTAAATGTATGAGACCGGTTTTGAATTTAGTGCTGTTTATGAAATGTGTCCATGTATAGATTCTGAGGTATGAATGGTGATTTTGTTTCAGTTCCAGTTTTTGTAAGAATGCCTGTTTCCTATGCTGTGACTTTGTAATAATAACAATAGCTAGTGTGTAGGGAAGGAAGTCCAAGATTAGGATTACCCTGGCACAACTCCATCAGTAAAGCTCTGTTGTTTCTTTCTTATCTAAATAAAGGGAAGGAAGTCTCCCGTCACTCTGTGCTTAGCTTTGTGGTCAGGGTCAGGTATATTACAGCACAATCTTTCTAAATACTCTTGCTGATTTTATTTTCAAGATAAGTGTAAGCTGTGGCAGTTTGATTACTGCAGTTATATCTTGAAATCTGAAATTTTACTCACCCATAAGATTATTTGTAACGTTTATTTCATTTAGGGTTCTGGGTTTTGGTTTATTTGAAGTGTGCCAGGTTTTAAACGTAGTTCTACCAAAGATGCAGTAGTGAGCAGACCGCTTTTAGATGCATAAAAGTACAGTTTTTACTGTGACTGTGTAATAGAATTTTAGAATACTTTTTATGAATTACCATGATCATCAGCTTTATGACTTGCTTATTCTAGATTCTTTATGACAACTTAGTCTAAATACGTAAGGACAGGCAATCCTTCAGTCCATCTATCAGTGAACTTTGTAAGAGGAACACCATTCAAAATAGTTGCATCCTGATTATCACAAAATGTAGATAATATTCAGGCTAAGATACAAGCCATAGCGACCAAATACGGTGCAAAACACATTTAAATAATTTTTCTTCCCATCACTGAATATGTAAGAACCTTCTACTGATCTTATTTCCCTATCTATTGCTCTGTGAAAGTGTTGGGGTTTTTTGGCCAAAGGAAAACTTATGTAAATAGATTAAAACTGAATATTGCTTTATGGAATCTATTTGCTCCATATGGTGCTTGGGTCTGCGTGAACATCCGAAGTAGTATTTCTAGTGCTCCTAACGGATACTTAAAATATCAGAACTGCGGAAGTCAGGAAGCTTCTGTACCAGGCCTTTCAAGCATTCCACGTTCATAGATCTGCCGTAAGATAACAGGAAAAATTCTGTCCTGTTACTTAGGGCTTCTGTTGAGGACAAACCTAAGGGCCGATTTCAAAGAAATCCCTCGGGACTTGCACTATTACCGAGACAAAACCTGCTGCAAACATTTTTGCTCTGAATTTCAGGACTTGGTTAATAATTTAAAATCACCGCTGTTTATGCCTTTCTACATCCAAATGCATCCTGTGCTGCCTGGATCGAGGAATTCACAGGTTGCGCAGCACTTCCCGGTTCTTGCCGGGACCGCGGTTTTGGGCTTTGCTGAGAGGCGGTTACGGCTCCGCGGCGGGGGCGTGAGCGCGGGGCACCCGCCTCGGCCGGGCCGGGCCCTGCAGGTTCCCTCCTGCCAGCTGAGCCCGGGCAGCAGCACCCACCTGGGCGGCCCTAAGCACATCTGACCCAAGGGGGTGCTTGGGGAACCTCGCGCTGGAGCCCCCGCACAGCTAGCCGGGGAGCTTCCCAGAAGCTCTGTTACATCAAAAAGGTAAGACTGCATCATTGGTCTCGACTTTGTAACTGGAGGTTGTGGCACTTTCTAAAAAAGAGTTTCTTCAGTGATCTTGGCTTCTTCGTGCGACCTGAATATTGAAGGAATTTCCTCCTAACCCTGGCTAATTTAGGGATGTGTTTTAAAACACCTCAAAGAACTCTAGTATACAGTAGATGCAATTAAGAATTAACAAGAAAACAAGATACATGCCTTTTATAAATCAGTCAACAAATATCCTGAAAAGGATGCATCAATTTTGAGTACTTCTATGTGGGTTGTTTTTACCATACAAAGTTTTCTTTTTCATCCTTTTTAAGTTCTGTAATCGTACCTTTTAATACCTTGCTGCACCAGGTCCAGTACTTCAGATTTTCCTCCTGAAAATCTTAAAACCAAAACAAGAAGGAAAGCAATGCTATGTCTTCTACTCTTCCCAGGTATCAAGAATAGAAAATATGGTTTTTTTTTCTGAGACAACTTTGCTTCACGGTGTCTCAGCTAATGGATGGAGATGTTTGCCTGTTTCTGTCCACATAAAGAATAAAGGCTCTCCTTGGTCTGCATACGGGCACCCACTGTCTGGCTTTTCCCTGTGCAGCTAAACAAAAAGGGACATGGAAGAGAAGTATTTCTTTTTACTTCACTGTTTTTGCTGTCACCTATCAGCTCAATGGCAGGACCACATCTTAAATTATTGTTTTTAGACAACAATTTGCCTCTCATCTCTGCTCGTTCTCCCACAAAAGTTAAAAGTCAGTATCAAGGATGACTTTCCAGGCAAAAAGAAAACACATGATGAAAACAGACTGCTGATCGTGAATGTTCCTTCTACTCACTAACGGAAATGGTGGATCCTGCAATTCAAAAATACACAGAACAAGTCATGTAGGCCTTCTGCAGAGAAGGGAAAAGGTGAAATACACAGCACTGAGCAACAAGTACAACCAACATGTTCCAGATGTGTTAAGAAATATATGACTGCCCTTTATATATATATATACATACATACACACACACCCTTACAGGTGACAACTGGTATGTTTTACGCTAACAGCAGCAGCAGGATGTTGGTAATTAGGCTCTGTTTCAAATTGCCCTGCTGAGCTTGAGCAAATCATACGCCCTCAGTGTTGGACACCAAAAATTCAAACTGGGAGACTCTCCCAAAATATCAAATCTGATTGTAATTAAACTGTTAGCTTTGTTTCCTGGCAAAGTCTACATCAGAAAACACTCTCCATGTACATGCAGTTTTTATTAACAAAAAAACAAACGTGTGATCTTACTGTATCTTTCTGCAAGTTAAATCAGTTATGCTAGAAAAAGCAGTTTTCATGCTGCTAAGATTCTCAGCACTGTTCTATGCCACCCTACTGCTGAAGTTTGAAGAGCTGTTCCAGAGTATTTTTTCCTCTGTAGCTACTCCTGTGTATTTCAGGCTTGTTAGGTGGGTAATTATTCTGGTATTATCAGCAACATTTCTGCGGGCAGCCAGCCTGACATAACTATTCCAGAACAACTCTTGCCAATAAGATCATACTGTATTAAGCAATTTATTTTTTTCTTTTGCAATTCTGGACTTTTATTCTGAAGCACGAGAGCAGATCAGCTCCCAGTTCGTTTTACATTACTATTTTAGGACTTACTTATCCCACGGAATTTGGCCAAAAATCATCTTCCAGACCTGCCTCAAGTAACTGAAAGTCTTAAAGACTAGCTGATTTTCTGTCCTTTAAATATTACCACCATTTCCACAAATATTATTTCCTAATTAATTTATATGCAAAGTCAGCTAATTAGGAAACCTCATTTTCATCAGCAGTTTAAGCTGCCTGAGACAAACTGATGACAGCATGCCTATGTCTGTTGTTCCACTGTCTCCTTGGGAGGGGCATGCTAACCTCAGTAAGGGAGTCAAAACAAGCAGCTGTAACTGGTGACTTCCGACATGGCTTCAGCTGTTTGCAAACATGACACTACAGCTTTTGCCCTACCACCGTTGCAAACTGTGTCAGTGTAATCTGACTATGTACTGGTGTGGGTGAGCAGCACTGGCATGTCCCATTCCACTGGTTTTGCTCTAAGGGGAATAACCTCTGAGACACAAACACTCGTGCAATTTTTTGGTTAGCGCAGCTGTTTCTGAAATGAATGTCTGAGCAGTCACCTACTATAGACATTCACATAGCTTTCTTGCCAGTAAAATTACATCAACTTATAAAACAACATGGACTAAGCGGACAGAAGTTCTTTTTGTTTTTTTCTTTGCTAGCAGACTGCATCCACATTAGAGGTTTTGCTGGCTTGGAGATGTTGGCCAGGGAAGTATGCTGACATAGCTGTTTTGGTGAAACTGTAATATACACCAGGTCTTTGTATTAAATAAACCACATCACAGTTGGCTACATAGGATATTCTTTGCATGCATTCTGAAGTGCCAACCAAAGTCTAAAAGCTGTTAGCCACCTGAGCAACAAATAGCTGTGAAATGCACACAGATAAACCCCAGAATTTTAAGCATTGACCCCTTTGTTAAAAAACACAATACATTTAGTGAAGGATACCTCTCCAGAAGAAGTCTCTTGAAAATCAGATTAATACAGTACTATTATCAAGAGCATAATATCACAAAAGTCTATCAAACAATGCCCAGTTGCCACAAATGCAAACAAAAAATAATTTGCATGATAAACTATATGTTTTTTGAAGTGTAAATGTGTCTGTATGATGCACGTGTATACCTCTGCATAGTGAAACTTAATGTAACATGTTTACTGTTCCGTTGTGGTTTTTGTTCTCCTTTATTTATTTTGGAGGAATAGAAGCTTTCTTTTTATATATGGCTCTTCTTCGCTGAAGTATATGAAAGCAACTAGAGGTAGCTAATGACTGCTTAAAGTCTCCTCGCATAGCGCGTACCCAAGCAGAAGGCAGGAACTGTGCACGCTCTTCCTGGTCTGCACGTGCAATTGTTACTCAGTTAACCAGAAAGCATGACATTTTTCCAGGAAATCCTGGATGTTTTATTTTATAATAGACATATCACATGCATCTTCACCTATGTAGGCTTTCTCAGAAAAATTCTGATGTATGTAGGGTTTTGATACAAATCAGTGATGGATCTAGATTAAAAATTAAAATGCGGTTTTGTTTATTTAAACCATTAGATGCTCATTATCTAAGGGAACATTTGAAAGTGTACTTATTTCTTCTGATCTGTTTGCTTGGCTTTCCACTGAGGTATATATTGAATTTTTTGCTAGAAAATGTACGACAAATAAGGTATACTGAAAGCACTGTACTTTTATAAATCCTTCAGTTGAACAACAACAGTTTGTGCTATTCAAAAACATTTGAAGAGCACACAAAAATGAGATAAAATAACATTATTGTCTTCTTTTTTATAATCCACAATCTTGTAATTAGAAGAAAGAAGATAAAGAGGCTTTCTATGTCACATCTGTAGTTTGGTTCCTTTATCACTTAATCCAATCCCACTGTGATGGAAGTGTCATTGTCTTCCATAGACTTGAACATACTGCATAATTTTCTATAAAACGTGGCAGTCATATCCTATTTTTGTGTCCAAAGAAGGAAGTTACTATTTTCTAAACAAAGAATAATAGCAACAATACTATGAGAATTTATTCTTACAATCACTTTCAGACTAGGGGAAAAAGATGCTTTAGCCTCTACCAGGTGGTACAATAGCAGCTAATTACATTATTCAGTAAAAAGTGCAGCTGAAATACTATCATCTTGCTGCAGAACACAGTTCCAGCTGTAGTAAATATTGCTTAAGTTTAGAACAGATGTGCATATATTTACTCATGAGATGGCATACTGTCTTATGGAAGTGGTCTAATTAATGCAGATGAGATGTCACCATGAATGAGATTACAAAAGATTACCTTGAATAGGCATGTCGTCTGGAAAGGAATGTAATAGGCAAATGGGTGTGTCTTTACTCCAGGATACAGAGGCCTGGAGGAAGCAAAAAAGCCCTTGTAAAAGCTGTACGAAAAATCAGTCATGTTCAGATCATTATCTGTACAGTAACCACGTGCACGCACACACACACACAGTCATCTAATAGCCGAAGGTTTTAAACAAGGAAATTGCAGAAAAATAAAAGAATATAGGCAGTATCTGCATAACCCTGGAGCAGGTGCTGTAATTAGCACAGCTGTCTGAGCTAGTAAAAATGCTAGCAGGTGACCCACTGAGGAAGCAGTAGAAGAATGGTACAAAAGATAGCATGGAAAATTCTTAGGGAAGGGAAGCATAAACTAGTCTCAGGAGTACTGGGTTTCCTGACCAGAAATACAGCAGATGTGGCAAAAAAAAAAAAAAAAAAAAAAATTCAAACCGAGGAGGAGATCTGCCTAGCCAATGGAAACATGAACAGGAAGCGTAAGGAAAAATAAATCACAGGGAATACTTGTTGAATCAAGGAAATCAGGAAATGCACAAGCAAGATCTGTTCCATAGAGCTATCTGATCCTACTCCAGAGTTCGTGTACAGGCTTAAACTACAAATCTCAGAGTCTGCATTACCCATATTAAATGTAGCACTGATCAAGGGACAAAGGTTGTTCAAGAGTCAGGTCCAAGTTCTAAGCTGGAGAAGCCAAATGAAGTTCAGAATAGTTCATGCTTCAAGAAATAGGTAAGAAAAAAGTAAGTTCAGAAAAAAAAAATTACTTACCTAAGACTTTTCTAAAGTAGATTCTGATTACTGAGGAGGATGTATTCTTACCAATCAGCATAGCCTGGAGTCTGTCCAAAATGCAGAAATGACAAAATGCATTACTAAAATAAAGTTGTGTGTTTGTATAGACAATGTGTCATATCTATATGCATGTAGTTATAAAAACACTATGTGCTTCCTACTGTAAAAACCAACATTGAAGTCGGAAAGTGAACAATATTACTCTTCATAGATGCACCTACTGAATTTAAGCAAGTTCTGGTCACATCACCATTCAAAAGTTGGTCCAAGTGCACCAAAAAATAGGATACAAGATTAAAAAATATGGTAGGTATTATATTTATTTTATAGAAGGCCTCAGGAAAGCATTTTGATGTCAGCTCGGGATTCTAGTACATGCTAAATGGAGGACAAGTGACCAAACAGGCGGTCAGGCTAGATCCACAGAGTATCACAGCTTTATTTGAAATACCAGCCACGGATAGCGAGTTGGAAAGACTTACGATCCAATTCTGCACCGAATTTGCACCTGTCAGCGAAGGGCTAAGCCTTACCTAAACTACAACAAAGCAGTTGTACTCCACGACGAAGGCTTCCCCCTTTTTCCCCATCGCCACAGCACTGCTCAATTACACCGTGAAGCTTGTACGTGAACTAATTTAACCATCATCTTCCACAAACTAGTACTACCCGTGAACTCCCCGAATAATGGTTTTAAAGCAAAGCTAATTAGTTTGACAGAAATTCAGATGGATCAGGAGACAAAACGCTCCTCGAACACCAAAGCCACACTTGCAGCTGCGTTGCGTGACAGGAAGGTGCCGCCGCTCCGGGCCCCGGGGCGATGGCCGGGCCGGGCCACCGCCACCCCCGGGCCGGGCCGGGCCACCGCCACCCCCGGGCCGGGCCAGGCCGGGCCGGGCCAGCGCTCCCGCCACCCCCGGGCCGGGCCGGGCCGGGCCGCCTGGGGCCCCCGCGCCGCGCAGGGTCCGGGCCGGCGGCGATCGGGTCGGCGGCTGCCGCGCTCGCCCTGGCCGCCGTGGCGCCGCCTCCGCCAACTCTGTGCGGGACGGGGCGAGCGGGGGCCCGAGCGGGAGGGAGGGAGGGAGGGAGGCTCCGAGCGCCCAAAGTTTCCGCGCCAGTTGCATAACTGCGGGCGGGCCGGGGCGGGGCGGGGGCCGGGCCGGGCCGGGAGGGCGGGCGGGCGGGCGGCGGGGGCCGGCGCTGCCCTGGTCCCGCCGCTGCCCGGCGTGGCCCGGGGGGAGGGCTGGCCCGCCCGCCCCTCGCGACACCGGCGCTGCTGTCGGTCGGCGGCGCAGAGGCAGCCCCCGCGCCGCCCGGCGCGGAGCCCCGCAGAGCCGCCCGCCCGGCCCCGGAGGGCACGTCCTCGGCGGCGGCCTTGCGGCGCGGCCCGCCCCGGCCACCGCCTGCTCCCGCCGTCGGGGCGGGGGGGGACGGGACACCATGAACCCCGCTCCCGCGGCCCCGCCACCGGGGCAGCAGGTGATCCACGTCACGCAGGACCTGGACACGGAGCTGGAGGCGCTTTTCAACGCGGTGATGAACCCCAAGCCCAGCTCCTGGCGGAAGAAGATCCTGCCCGAGTCCTTCTTCAAGGAGCCCGACTCGGGCTCGCACTCGCGGCAGTCGAGCACGGACTCGGGCGGCCCGCCGCCGCGGCCCGCCGCCGCGCAGCATGTCCGCTCCCACTCCTCGCCCGCCTCGCTCGTGGGCTCGGCCGCCGCGCCGCAGCACGCGCACCTCCGCCAGCGCTCCTACGACGTGACGGACGAGCTGCCGCTGCCGCCCGGCTGGGAGATGGCGCTCACGCACACGGGACAGCGCTACTTCCTCAAGTGAGTGGGGCGGGAGCTGCCGCCGGCCCGGGGCGCCCGCGGAGCCCGGGGCCCGGTCCGCGCCGGGGGGGAGGGCTGCCGGACGAGTTTCACGTCGCCCAGCCGAGCCGGGGGGGGGGGGGATCGTCGTGAGGCGAGGGCGGCGGCGGGGGGGGGACGACGGCGACTCCCGCGGGAGGAGGGAGCGAGGGGCGGCCGGGTTGGGGCCCCCCGGGGCTTGTGGAGGGGCCGCGCCGTGAGGCGGCGGGCACCGAGACTTCCCCGCTCTGGGGCGGGCGCGAGGAAACCCCTTCTCGCCTCCCCGGCGGGAAGAGGAGGGCGGGCGCGGTGCGCGGCCGCTGAGCCCTGCCTGCCAGCTGCCGGTCCCGTCTTGCTTTCCTGCTTGGCCACACGCTCAGAACCTAATTTTTTTTTTTTTAAAAAAGTTCAATAGCAGCTGTTCCGGGGAGCTTTCCAGAACGTGGGAACAGGGCACTTGTGTGTCTGTGACCTCTTGGAGGTGAAATAGTCTGTGGATGGGGGAACTGCCTAACCCGGGCTCCCAGGTCTCCAGTCCAGGCTTTAACTGCGAAACGTCTTCGTTTCATGGGTGGCTTTTCACAAACGGAATGCACTGCTGCAGTACAAGTGGCATGTATTATATTTATAGCATCCATATCTTGAGGGACACAGGAGGAGGCATCCTTATTTTAGTGACAGATTTTGAGAAGTGTGGTAACGTAGCTGCCTATCCCTTCTGGCCAGTAACTCTGGTCAGAGTGTTTTATTTATGACACTTGGAATTTGAGTCAAATCAGTTTAATAGGCCTGAAAGTAGGTAATAATTGTAATATGTGTTAAGGCCTATGAAGTGACAAAATGTTTACTAATGAAATAAAACATTTACTGATGAAGCATCTACCTAAGGATATCGAGGGAGTTATGGGACCAGGGCTGCAGGAGATTATTTACTCATTTACTCCAGCCTTCTGGGTCGTCAGAGTAGTGTCTGGAGTTCATACTCCACTGTGTGTGTGTATGTATTCAGCCATAATAAGTGGCATATAGACAGTGCGTGATGGGACTCGGGGGAAAGCTGGAGAATGTTGACTGTTTAGAATAACTACTAAATGTGTAATTTATGTTATTCTGTAATAATTTCTTTGCCTTGTGGCTTGGGGAATCTCCAAAGGTTTACTTGAGCCCAGTCTATCAGTTACTCTGCACAGTTTAAATTTTTGCCTCTTGTCATACTCTGAGTTCCTAGAAAAGCATGGAAGTACATTTTGTCTCTTTCTGTCATTCTATATGTTACTATAATGTTTATAATACTGGGTGGACATGTACCAGGGTCCAAACTGGGAGGGGTTTATTGATCTAGCTTATCACCTGAATGAGAACATCTTGCTCAGCACTTCGCATGTATTTTTCTCAATAGAACAGGACACAGAGGCAGCTGACTGATAGGAGCACTGTAACAGATCATTCATAAATAAGTATTTATATAAATTCTTGCTAGGGCTTGGCTAGGAAGTGTTTTCAGATACCTCTGGCTAAAAATTACATAACAATTTTTGTCTTCTGCTTGGTTTTTGACTAATATCAATATGAGCTCATACGATTTCACCTTCCTGTCACACATTTTTGACATGGAGACAGAGTTTTCCAAGCGGATGGATTCTTGTTGCTTAGGCCAAAAATGCAAATCCCTTATTAAAAAAACAAGCAAACAAACACAAACCAAAACAAGTCGGTAAAACCCCAAAGTGTCTTTTTTTTTTTTTTTTGGTCAAAATCCTGTAACGGTGTTACTCTGATTAACAGCATCCTTTTTTATGTAAAATAAAATTTCCATAATTTATTACTTAGGTTAGTCTTTGTTTTGTTTCCCCAGTTTTATTTATCTAAGAGAACTTTTCTCATTCGTATAAAAACTAATTGAAGTAATGTATTTACAATGTATTTCTTTATACCTCAATGCTTTTTGGAGTTGTACTTAGCTTTAAAATAATCAGATATTAATGATAACGTTTTGCAAAGGGTATGATGTTTTTCAGGTGAAAATATAATTTTCTGCAGAAATTTAAGATTGTTTATGGAAAGCGGCATTAAAAACTCTGTGGAATAATATGTAGGGTTCAATTAGATGATGTGCTTGAAAATCCTACTTGGTCAAACCAGGCATACAAGGTTACATTTTCCTATATTCAAGGTCCGTCTGTCAAAAAAAAAAAAAAAATCACCATTTCTTTCCAGTTTAATGATGAAGATTCGTTTATAGTCAGTAGCAAAAGAAAATTGAGAAGGAAATTAAGAGCAAATAGCCAAATTAGGTCCTGTTAGAAGTTTCAAATGCAATTTGTTGTATTTAAACACCTTTTCAAGAATTATTAAACTGAACTAGTGATGGGACTTTCAGTGAACAGTGAGCTAACCTTGTTGACTGGGAACCAGCTATAACTTGAAGCAATCACACTCCTGCATGTCAGTTCCTGCAGAAATTTTCTGGCTGTGACTGGAAGAAACATAAGTAGCCTGGGGACCACTCCACCCTGTAATTAAATACCAAACCACAGAAGTGGGGGATGGAAAGCAGACTAATCAACACACACTTACAGCACTGTTATCTAAAGCATTTTTCTGTGTGTGCATGTGTGGAAAAAAATTTAAGTGTGATTTATTTCTGATAAAAAGGATTTCTGGAAAGACAGGCAAACTGCCTTGTGTAGCTCTTATGTTGATAAGTGGGAATATCAGTTGCATATCGATCCACATGCTGAGCTGTGTACACATATTCTGTAAAAAGAATTTTTCAAGTATTACTTTCCACCAATTTGTTTTTAAGTGGTACAGCCTCATATTTCAAATGAAGACTAAGGTTTTAATGTTTTCTCAGTGTGTGTACAGTGCTTCTTGGTTAGACTCTGATTTCATTCCAGAAGATAAACAAAACATAAAGAATATGGCATTTGCACTGAACAGATTTGTTAAACTGTTTCTGCGGTTGCCTTTATCACAGGTGTTTTTTTTTGTTTTTTTTTTTTTTTTTTTGGGGGGGGGGGTTGTTATGGGTTTTGTTTTTTTTTTTTTTTTTTTTTTTTTAATGATACAGTGAACATTTGACATACCAGGACAAAAATTACAAAACAAGTAATATTAAGACAGTTGAAGTGCTCAAATGATTTCCAAATATAGCCTTTCCCTGAAGACCATTTGTATTAATTCCGTAGAACATTGTATTATTTTATATTGATGTTGTGCTTGGTGCTGTACAGTATTCATAATAGAGGTATTTTTCTGCCTCAGGAATGCAGTTACACAACTAGAAATGGGGGAGGAGATGGACAATGCATGACAGTGTATGTGTTAAGTTCTGATAAAAATGTGGAAAACACACCTTTGTATGACACTTTTGCAGTATTGTTTCACAGTTACGACCGCAATTACTCATGGACATGATGCATGCCGTACAACCTGGGGCTTTCATCGATGTAGCTTTCTTTGGTCCTTGTAGAAAAATGGTGCAAAGCAAGCACCCATGCATCCTCACTGGTTTTGGTGCCGTGCGTTAGAAAGAGACATAAAGCATATGGCTTTTGGAGCATTTAATCCACATACTAAGGTATTTGTTTTGTTCCCACCTCCAGTGGTTATTCGTGTGGGACTGAGTGCCTGAACTCCTCCCCTTGCCAGTGTCCCTTTATTAAAAGTAAGTTATAATGTGCAAAATGGTGTCGAGATGTATTACTACTACCGATTTTTATGTGGAATGAACGTATGTGTTTACTATTTTAAAGAGTTCCTGGCAGACAAGAAACCTGTGACACAATACCGAAGTTTAATAGATGGAAATTCAGCTATGGCTCAGCTTTGTGAATCATTTTAGAGATGCTTAGGAAGTTCTGAGGTTGGAATATACACATCAAAACTAACTTTGCCAGCTGTGATTGACAGCGTTAGAGGTCTATCTGACTGC